CCTGTCCCAGGGGCTGCACGGCTGGCCCATAGAAAAGAGATCACGGGTGCCAACTCTAAGTTACAGTGCCAGTACATAAAGTATTTGTAAGTTTGAGGGGATTTGAAAAAAACCCACATTGTTGAACAGTAAAATTAAGTTTCAGGAGTCACTACTCTTGGTGAATGCATCCCTTGAGAAGACAATGTATGCAACATGTACTATTGGCGCGTTGTACATTGCGTTGTTGCTTTGCAGGCACTCTGGGTTGGTTCATGTCACCTGTCAGCGCTGTGTCCAAGAAGCTCCAGGATCGGTATGTCCCCCATGCGTTCATGTGCTTTTGCTCCTTTTGTCATGCCTGGAATGTTTGCTAGCTTAAACACTTGCCATGTGCACCTTAGTAAACTCATTCAAACTCCATCAGCTTCCTGAATGATCGCTTATCAGGCATCGGCCATCATCTATTAGAGCTGGCAAACACAGAAGTACTGCTGTGCCAGTTCTGAGGGATGGATACAGATGAACAGACAGCCAGACAAACAGTCAGGCAGACAGACAGACAGACAGACAGACAGACAGACAGACAGACAGACAGCCAGGCAGACAGACAGACAGACAATCAGGCAGGCAGACAGACAGACAGTCAGACAGACAGACGGACAGAGAGACACAATCAGGCAGTCAGACAGACAGACAGACAGACAGACAGACAGACAGACAGACAGACAGACAGACAGACAGACAGACAGACAGGCAGATAGGTAGACAGTCAGACAGACAGACAGACAGATATAGACCTGTGTGATGGTTGATGGCTGGCGAGTGTGCCGTCCTCATTCTGACCGCTTTGGTTACCGTTAGTGTTTTCTCACTCTTTGTTGTCCATCTCAGTGGCAGTAGTAGTGCTTGCGAGATGACGAGTCGCTTGACGTACGTCATGCTGCCATGGCATTCCATATTGGACGGTAAGTGCTCGAACATGACGTAGAGTTGTGTTTCCCCTGGGATGAGTCTAGGGAAATATTTATTGTGCATGTACACCCAGTTCATCCCATTCCCTATTATCACCCAGCGATGACTTTTTCAACCACTTACGTTACTAGCAACTCTCTCCATCTCCCGAACGGTCTTTTCACTGCGAAGAACTGACTTCACATTTCACCGGATTTCGGGCTGGACGTGATGAGCAGGTGAACAACTACAGAAGTGATTTTTCGGTTTGCAAATTGTTGTGCTATCCCTGGATGTAGTGGCACAGTGGCTGACACAGACAGCGTTGTGTGTTTGCTCACTACCCACTACCACACTGAGCTTCTTTCCCAATCAGAGCATGCTAGGGCTGTGCTCATGCAGCTCATGAAAAACCTCAAGTTGAAATCGCACTGCACTGCTACATGAATGATGTGTGTGGACTAGCATTGACTACAGAGCGGGATCTCAGTGTTGGACTTACAGGGTTTCGTGTGTTTGACTTCTCCTCTTTGCTGTGCACAGAAATCATCCGCCCTGTCCGTGTTCCGGCCTTGCCATTCCACCTGGACAGTTAGAAGTGGCGTTTGCCAATGTCGACGTTTCCTTGCGAGCACACCCCCGCTCAGTGTGTTGGTACCTGTTCACGCGACCCGTGCAGTGCCTGTGCAGTGTTGCTACTTGGTGGGTTGCCTGCCAGAGTGTAGAGCACCCTGGTGCCGTGTTTCTGTACACTGTCGTCACGCCGTCTCTTGATTTGGTCCTCCGAGGACTGGATTGGTATTGCTGATCGGCTGGTCCGTCTCTGCTGCAGCCTTGCTGGCAAGGTGCTTTGTGCGTATCAGTGTGTTGTCCATGCCCCCAGCATTGCATCATATGCCGTGCTAGGTTTGATTACTACTAGCGACAAGGCTTCTTGCAGCTGCCGAGAAGGCCCGTGTGGAAAGAGTTGGTTGGTCTGCTGTGACCAACTGTGCCCTGCTCAATTCTGTTTGTTCCTACAATAGGCTGTCTTAGTCTGCTCAACTCTCTACTTGTCCTGCTGTCCCCCTCTTCCCCATCCCCTTTACCAGCGCTCGCCGAATAAAACAATTGCATTTTAATAGCTTCTGCCATGAAATGGAAAATGTCATGCTATCACCCTCAGCTTTGCAAGCTGCGGTATGAACTCGTAGAGATGCCTATTATGGCATGCAACCGGAATTATAGTGCATATAATATGTGTGTGTGTGTGTGCGTGTGTGTGTGTTGCACGTTTCCATTTCATCCCGATAACTTATCTCTATGCAGCATCCTTTTTTATTCCTTTCGAAAAAAGTTGATTTTATTTAAAAAATATTATCAACAGTCATAATTTCCTTTGACGTCCATGGCGAGTCGAATCCTGAAGCAAATAATACATGCAGCTGTCTTGATTAACAATCTAGTTCGCACGCATCTCGGCGTGTGCTTTCTTTCTTCATGTTCATATCACTCGTAGTATGTCTGTGAACAGTGTTCACTGAATGTTCCTTTTAATGACGTGACTCAGATGAGAGCTCCAAACTTCTTTGTATCTTGATGATGGCCCCAGCTGGCCAGGCCGAAATATTTTAATGTTACAGCCCAAACGAGGGTCAGTTGGACTGACTTATCCGTTTCCGTGGGAAAGCCACCACCACCCTCAAAGAATCAAGACGCAGTTGCACCTCCTGAAAGTGGCCAAAATATTGGTTGAACGATTCAACCGACATGTTTGCCGCTTTAGGAGGTGCATCTTTGCTTTCATCCTGAACTGGACCCAGTACATGTGAAGGAAGAGGGCAAGTCCAGTCCATTCTCTGAGAGAACTTGCTGAAGCATGCCCCTCAAACATTGTGTTGAACTGGATGATTTTCATTTTTTTTGTGGTTTTAACCCTTTACCGGCCGATGTGTACATGAATGCGTAGTGGAACTGAAGTTACGACCTGAAGAACGTGAAAAATATGCAGATTTTTGAAATTTTCCCTGCGGCTGGTAATTTGGTAAAGGGTTAAAGAAGATTTGCGCATGCATGGATATGCAGCTTGTGACTCTGTCTCTATTCTCACCAATATGGCAATAAGGCAATATAGCCAAGAGTACATACCGGTAACCTGGTTACTGTATGTAACTCAAAATAACCAGAAACAACCGGGGCATGTATACGGCCTTTTCTGATCTTGATGTGGAACCTCTCACTCTCATTGGCCTACAACTTAAGGTGGCCCTCTGAGCTTTGGGGGTCAAAAAACCGACTTTCTTGGATTGCTCCCAAAGTGCAGTCAAATCCTTCCTATATCATCCAAGAACACACAAAAAAAATTTGAGGGCGATATTCAAAGCCAGAAGGGCAGTTCACCAGCCGTGCTCTGGTGCGCCTTGGCTCGCGCTACGAACAGAACTCAGCCAGGAAGAGGTCAGCTACCACCAAGCAAGCCAGGAAGAAGCGTAGATGAGTCAAGAAGACAGGCCAGGATGTAGCCGAGGAGGTTGAAGGTGTCACATACGAAGCAGGAGGCTTCTAATGTGTGGAATTCTGGCGAGGACCCCAAACCAAAAAATTTATCAAATTTTGGTACCCAATTTTCTCTCTTTTTCAGCCATTGCCGGACCTTGTAACCAGGCTGTGGCTTCAGTTGTTGCTTCTACACCCCCAAAAGTATATATTTTCTGAATCCGTGGACCTTTGGCTAGGTGCTAAAACTCAATGTGGCCTGTTCTCAGGTAGTATAGCCTGTAAAGAGCATCTCCAACATGTGTCATTCTTTTGCGCATTTGGACTATGGTTTTGTGTTTTCGATATTGGAAACCTTTTCTGAGGTTTTCTTTGTATATTGTTGTTTTAGCACCTCAAGTTGGATGTAAAGAATGTACTCCATGTGAAAAATGTCATGATAAAAACATTGGTATTTCTGAGTGCTGGTTAAGAGTTCTATATACGGCAATTTTCGTAAATTCACATCCACACCGACAGTGCTTGTGAAGAGGTCCATTTTTCCTGGTGAAGATCAGACTATGAGATCTCAGGAATTAGTGTTGAAAATTTGAACCAATTATATGCATTGTAACCAAAGTTACGTCGTTTTCCGGGCGGGGTGCCATAAAGCTCAGAGGGCCACCTTAACAAGGGGCCAATGAGGGTCTTGATGTTAGCAAGGCAAGACAAGAAAGTTAGTTGAAGAAGAGCACCCGTACCCCTGGCCCTTGGCTTGACTCCTGTGCACATGTGCCGATGTGGGCGAGTTTTAGTGGAAATTCAAATAATTATTACTACGAGTACTCTTTTGTCCATGACGACCGACACTGCACTGAGCTGAGCGAAAGTAGAGTCATGACGCGCTACTCACTCGGGGATTACCCTCCTGCTCTCCCTCTAGCTCTGAAAAAGAGCACACGTGTGTCAGCTTTTTGATTCGAACGCTTTTGCCTTTTTTTGAACAAGCTCTTGATGTTTCGTTTCAGCCAGATGTTGCCAAGCATTCTTGGTTGGATATCTCTACCCGTGGCAGACGCTTCATAAGCTGCAGGAGTTAGTCCATTTCGAACTGTGTCTAATAGCATGTAGAAGATGAGTGGCCAAGCGAGCCCGTGACAGGGGACTTGGCTTCGTTAGTTCAGCGCTGAAAATGCTAATGAAAATGCTAATGAATTGAGCTGTAGCTGTGCCTGATGTGAAGCAGAGAATGAGATGCATTCTAAAAATAACAATTACATGACAGGAATCGAAACCTTTCGGCCATTGCCATTGGGATTAGTCGACCCGGGATCCTGATCAAGAGCGAAACACTTGCGAACTCAGTGTTACTGCAGTCACAGAGCCGGAGAGCAATAAAGTCGGTGGCGGCGCTACGAGCTGCGGCAGAAGAACTTTTCTTTCTCGGTGATGCTTGTCGACCAGCAATGGCGGAGAGAGGTCAAGTGCTAGGTGAGCTATTGTTTTTACCAACATGTTACATATTATCCGTTGTTTGTGTCCTTGGCTCTCCATCCGAGTCGTATTACTTTTACCCTAATATAACCATAGCTAGCTGCAGGTTTGAACCATAATAATGCGGTGTTGATTTTATTACGTTTCCAGGTGCTGGTGTGGTTGTGTGTACGTGTCGAAGAGGCCTCGAGGGCTTGCTAGAACGATGACGACATTGTCATAATAATGTCCTGTATACTGCAGTGTCTAAAAAGACAGGGAAACGAAAGACAGATGAGCAGCAGGTGTTAGTTATGAACTACAGCAGAGCAAGGCAAGACAAGAACTACTTGAAGAAGAGCACCCCGTGACTCCTGTGCACACGTGCCGTGGTGATGTGGGCGAGTTTTAGTGGAAATTCAAATAATTATTACCACGAGTACTCTTTTGTCCATGACACATGAGCAGCAGGTATTACAGTCCTGCATTTCAAAACTATAGACGCGTACCTAGGCAAAAACCGTTATGCCAGCATCTATACCACATAAAATCTGTGATCACTTTGTGCATAAATTTTTCCAAATTGGGCGTCTGTTACCCAATCGTTTAGAAACTACATGTATATGAGAGTAATTGTGGAGCGGTCCTGAGCAATATTCCGAAAACTATTCTCAAAAAGTTCCAGCCAAATTTGAAATATTTCAAAAACCCTACGCGTCTATAGTTTTGAAATGCACTGTAGTAATTTATTACTCATGCCCCCCCCCCTCCCCTAGCTTGCATGGTTTCGATCTGGTAGCAAGTTTTGGCCCGCGATTTACATCATTGACCAGTTGGCAGCAAGCTGCGGAATCAGCGAAATCCAATCGACTGAAAAGTTGCTAATTTTTATCTTTACTGTGTCCAGTATTTGCTTTGACGTCCACATGACAACCATTTCAGCTAGACCTGCAATTGCAGAAGCTGGAAATTTATCACTGGCAAAGTGGATGACTGACACCTGATACTGTCCTGGTTGAACTTATTCATACTACCGTATACATTGTTATATTGTCCCCCTCCCCCTCCCGCGTGAATTTCTCAGCAAAATCTCTTTTATTCTGAGCAGAATGTTATGACAATTCTGCTTGGAAAGGTGGCCATGAAAACAGTTGGCACATCCACGAATACACGCTGAAACCTATCCGTGCCTATTCCTTGCCTAAGTATTTGAAACTCTTAGGAGGCACTTGTAACCTTCGGCACTAAAGTTCCTGCACTTGTATACACTCGTACATATCACATCCCACGTGTTCAAAATGTGCGAAAACTGCCCACCACACGGTAATTTTGAAATTAACGCACTCTCCACATACAGGCATGCACCCGGCTCAGAACACATTGTTTTCTGGTTGGCATATCAGGGATATTGGGCGGAGCAGCTGGCGTGCATGAGAAAGACAGGTCGGCCTGCTCTGCGCAGGAGCTGTGACCCGGTGCACACATAGTGTGAGAGAGAGAGAGAGAGAGAGAGAGAGAGAGAGAGAGAGAGAGAGAGAGAGAGAGAGAGACTGACAGGTCGGCCTGCTCTGCGCAGGAGCTGTGACCTGGAGCACACAGGGTGTGAACGAGAGACGGTCGGCCTGCCGTGGGCAGGAGCTGCGACCGGTAGTGATTGAAATGAGCCAGCTGCGGAGATAGACTGCCCTCACCCGATATAAGTATATTGAGTTGTACTGACACTGTGATTGAGGAAATTATGGTGACAGTGACGGAGAGATAGTGATCCCCAGTCGAATGGGGTTGGGAGGGAAGGGAAAATTTACAACTGACGGACACACCAGTGAACAGTCAAGTCGTCGGAAAACAGAAGTGACAAAGGAGTTTTCTGCAAAGCAAGATTTGGAAAGCACGCGTGGGAGAGTGGCGCGCCCGCTGCGCATGCGCATGTATAGCAATGACATCATAATCAGACGCATGATCATCAGACTAAGTATGAGTGGTAGATGTTCCACGCTCGTTAACAGGGCTTAGCGCACACGCTAAACCACCACTAAGATAAAACTCTACCTAAATTTCAACCAGCTCATACTGCAACTGCACTGCCAGGTGGGCCCATAGTTGAGTTATCGTGAAAATATACCTCCAAGGGAGTTTTTTTTGGAAAATGGTGAATATATTTCGACAATGAATTGAATTGGTTACGTCTTTCCCTCAAACCAGTGACTATAATGAATTGTCTGCCAGTTTAGTGGTTGGAGTTAACGTCACATTGGCATATGCATGCACTACACCTTTAAACCAGGTGTGTCCCTATGCGAGCTGATCATATCCGAACGGGACAGGATGGAAGATGGGCAACCTCTCATTCACCATTGTAATGTAATATTATCCCTTCTTGACTTGTGTTAGTGTGTTGAACGTCTGCATTTCTTTCTGTTTATACACGAGCGAAACTTCTCTAAGCTGTTTGTGTTTCTCAACACAATCGTAAGCCGGTGGTAACGCGGATGTGCAAACTTCACTTTTGTCTGTTTATATGCTAGGTACGGAAAGCGGCGAGAGCGATGAGGCAGATGTGGCAGCATGCAGCGCAAAGAATCTCAAACCTCGCGAGTATCAGCTGGACATTGTGCGTCGGGCGCTGAAAGACAATGTGAT